AACTGGTTACATCACTAACTACCCTGATGGTCACCTATTTGTTTTAATCATAGAAATGCCAACGTAGGGAATTTACTTAAAGTTCCAAAAGCTTTGCAACCCAAACTGGTATTTTGAACAACAAAATTGCATTACGTATACGCATGGGTTTTCATATGTAAAATAAGCTTTAGGAGTTCCTTAAAACAAGTCGCATCTTTTTAATACCCTTTCCAGGACTAGAAAGAGTAGTTTTTGTTTAATTAACTTGACCTACATGGTTTGGAAAGTAATATTATAATACCCTGATAAAAAGTATTTTAAGATTAACAAGAAAGGAAGCTAACTTCGGCACGCCGAAGTTTGTATACCCTTGCAGATTGGTTTTCATATTTATATTATAAATTATAATGCCGAAAACAGACACCTTATTATGTACTTACTTATTATGTTTACAGTTTGACAGTTACAGTTTTACAGTCCCAGCTTTATATATTTTATACATTTACCGATCGCTTCTATGGCAGCTATAAGATATAGTCGTTCGATTTTCATAAAATTTATACCAAAATTCTGAAATAATACCAGAAGCTTATGTCTCAAATTAGATTAAAATACGATGAAAAACAACGAAGTTATAATTTTTTTTCGATTAATTTCCCGATCGTTCTTATGGGAGCTATAAGATATAGAGGTCCGATTTTCATAAAATTTTTACCAAAATTCTGGAATTATATAAAATGGCTATATTTAAAAAACAATGCAAAAATAATGAAAAACACCCAAGTTATAATTTTTTTTCTACAAATTTATCGAACATTTGTATGGCAGCTATATGATATAGTCGTCCGATCCGGCTCGTTCCGACATATATAGCAGTGAGAGTATATAGAAGACTATATGCAAAGTTTCATTCAGATAGCTTTAAAACTGAGGGACTAGTTTGCGTAGAAACGGACAGACGGACAGACGGACGGACATGGCCAGATCGACTCGGCTGTTGATGCTGATCAAGAATATATATACTTTATAGGGTCGGAAACGTCTCCTTAACTGCGTTGCAAACTTCTGACTGAAATTATAATACCCTGCAAGGGTATAAAAAGGTATTTAAATATTCGCTATACTGAAAACGGAAGCTACCCCCCCTTGTTCTCGTTTTGGTTGCATAATTTGTACCCGGGGGAGCTGTTGGATGCGACTCAATTTACACGACCGGGCGGAGTAAACAATAGTAGAGGCCCTTGAATGGGGCCAACAGAAGGCAGCGACACGAAATAAATTACAAGGATTTATAATTCTTATCTCTCTGTATTGCGCTCTCCGTGTCCTTTCATGTGGTGACTCCTGCTCGGCAATTGCCTCGGCATTGTGCTCCTGCTGCTGCTGCTGCTGTGCTTCCAATCCTACAAAAGGTCACGTGCTGGCTGTGCGAAAGGGTCGCCTCATGTCCCCCAGCACATTCACCGCCCTCAGCGGGGACCTGCATGTGCAGATCCAGTTCAACGGCGACGACATCTCCAGGCCATCGACGACGACGAAGGAGGAGCGCCCCACCACCACGGAGCACTCGAGCGCCGACTTGAAGACCAGGAACAACACCATAATGAGCACTTTAGTCATTAGCAAAATCATTGATGAAGCGGAGGAGGGCCCGCCGGCGAATTATCTAGTGCCCGTTGCAACCACCAATAGCAGCAAGCTGGTGCTGCAGCGCCGGCGCAAGGAGGTGGTCCAGAACATACCGCTCTTCCCGGATCCCAGGTTCAACGTCACCCAGGTGACAGTGCCCTGCCAGACCTTCCTGATCGGCGGTCGTTATGAGATGCAGGTGGTGAGCAACCTTAGGAAGGTGGGCAAGAACCAGAGCGAGGTAACCACCACACTGGTGCCATCCCAGGACGAGCGCCTGCTCCAGACCCTCGATGTGCGGTGGCCCAGTGCCGAGATGATTGTCAGTCCCGTGCGTCTGAAGACATATCCAAAGAATCCCGTGGAGGTGACCCTGCGCTTCCCCGAGGTCAACTGCAACCAGACGGGCAGCCTGCCGCTGCCGGAGTTCTGGCTGGAGCTCCTCTACTGCGGCAAGGAGCGCAGCTGCAGTCGGAACATGTCCAGGTCCAGTGTGCTCTTCGCGGAACAGATACGTGGCTTTCCGAAGAACAAGAGCCTACGCCTCGGCTGCGAGCTGTTCGGCCTGGCCGGAAACTACGCGGTCCAGCTGCGTCCAATGGTACCCATTCCCTCCCAGAATGTGCCCACCACCCGACGGCTGCTCAGCGTGGACTGGAGCGATGAGTTCGTGTTCAATGTGTACGCCCGCAGCATCTTCCCCTGCGATCCGCACACGGGCATCGGAGTGCTATATGAGTATCCGGGCTGCATCCTGGAGCAGGGTGACCGTGTTCGCCTCTACGCCAAGCTGCGCGCCGATGTCGCCTCGCTGAAGCCACCCACCTCGCTGCACTACGTTGCCGAGCAGCGGGTGGTGAAGAGCCAGCACTCGCTCCACTTCGCCTGCGACCTCTTCTCGGAGAAGTATGTGGAGTACTGCTTCGTCTACGTCAGCCAGGCGATATCCGGAGCTGTGGCTGATGTCCGGATGGACTGCGTCCCCACGCTGCCCGTGAGCGGTGAGTTATCGACGGTGCATTAACGCCGCATTTAACGTCATTTAAAATGAAAATCCCAATTAAAGGCTGTTAACAGATTAATTGACATCTCGCTGCATCTGGCACCCGGATATTAAGCCTTAAGTTTTAAACAGAGAAACTTTCTTATTGGTAGAATTTAATTATAAAGTACTTCAAATGCTCTTTAATTCAAGAAAAAAGCTTTTGCTTTATATGTTATATTTAACTTGGAGACTAACTTTAAACCAAACAAATCCATATAATATTTTTAGATTTCTAAAGGATATGTCTTTTTTGTAAACATTTTAAATTCAACCTACTTTAATAACTTATATATTTATTTAAGTATCATCTTATTACATTACTAACAATATTTTTATTCCACAGATTCGGACACTGGAGGCTGGGGACCCTGGAGCGAGTGGACCCCATGTTCTACGAATTGCTTAGGTGGAACGAGGAATCGCTACCGATTCTGTGACTCTCCACCTCCACGATATGGCGCCAAATTCTGCGAGGTATGTAACATACATAGTATAAGTATGTAATGGCACTCGCATATACTCGTAACCCGGTCGATTAACCTCTGTACGACCTCTGCCTCCACCTGATTTGACAACGTTAATAGTCAAAGTTTGATTGAGTGCTCCGAGAAATGATTAATACTAGCACTCGCGTCAAGACGATTTCAATAAGTGCTGAAACTACATCCAAAGACAGGCGAACTTCGTCGCTTGACTCGGGGGATGCTTTCACCTTTACCCTAGAGATGGCTTTCAGTTGAGTTCAAATTTCACTTGGTTATAGTACTACACTAAGGGAAAATCTGAAAATAAAAACATTTTATGTGAGAGTTTTGGCATAAAAAAAATAATAATACCCCAATAAAAGGAACTTAAATATATTTAATTTGCAAAATACAAATATTATAGTATCCTATCATGTTATTGAAAGGAGGACAGCTTGAATTTATTTCAGTGTACTCCCCCAACAGCAAACTGGAACTATTCCATTGTTTTTGCTTGCAGAGGAGGACTGAGGCTTGGGTGGCTTCGCCATGTTGTCTGCGAGCTTGTTTCCACACTGCGACACTTGCTCTAGATTGCGTGGGGAATTTACGGCGCTTCCGACAATTGTCGGCCTACTGCGCCTCGCTTTATCTTGTTTCTTTTGTTGAAAGCACTGTGTTTGGAGCAGGGAGCAGTGAACCACCGCCTCCTCCGACACTTCCCTCCCGCGCATTTCATTATCCAAAAACTTCCGGCATCAGCAGCCAGCGGTAGGGGCACATTTGGTCGTACTTTGCCGTAACTTGGAACTCGGAACAATTACAGCGAAAGTTTTTAAATGTTCTCCGCACTTATTGCGAGTAGTTCTTACACGGCTCTCCGGATGCTGGGACACAATGCCATCGCCGTGGGGCGGGCCACAATTGAGTGGGCGTGGCCGGTTGAACTGGAAATGGCTGAGGGATTCAGCACCACGCGCTTTTCATAACAATTTGCATTCGCCCCAAAAGAATAGACCAGGGGCGTTGCCGCCGCCGCCTCTGAAGCCATGTGTGAGCGTGTCTACAAATATTGCCCCACGGGCTATTAATCAAACAAAGCCTCGGCTCGACACGGCACAGCCCGGCACACGGCACGGCGAGGCAGGCTCTGTATTTGCTTTTAGAAAACACGGCAAATAACCTCTGGTGACCACCGCCACAAACTCAAATTAGTGGTCCGCCACTCCGAGTGCGTTAGCTGTCGGAAAATGTTTTGTATTTTTATGATTTACTCACGAAAACCAAACAATAAATTGTCAATTCAGTCAGCACCACCCTGAAATACTCCTCGCCTTTGAAAAGAATTCTAGGCGAAGTTATGTATACCTGAGGTTTTGCTAAGAAAAATAGGGAAACCTTGTTCTTTATTGTAAATAATTCTTAAGAGTTTAAGGCAATATATAAAAAAGTATAACAGAATTAATTAAAATTCAAGAACTTCTTAAAGATTTCAGTGATGCTGATATGAATTTAAAAATTCAGAAACATTAACCTGAGCAAAGAGAAAAATTATAATATAAATAAATAAATATAAATAAATATTTAAATAATTAAAAATATATGTCAAATGTTCAGAACTTGTAAAAAAATATCAAATATTAAAATAGCTAAATATAAAACTTATTGCCTTTTGTTTTGTGTAAATAAATGCACAGAAATTCAATGGTTTAATTGCTTTAATATCACTAGTACCCAAACTCTGCCGTAAATGGGCTTAATTGCAAGTGATTTATTTTATTTAAAATAAATATGTTGGCCTGCAAATAAAAGTTCTGGCAGCATAAAATAGGTTTACTGCTGAAAAGGTATAAAACAAAAGCTTTGAAAAGCTTTCATTGCCTTGACAACCTAGACTTGTTGTTATATTTATTCAGACTTCATTTTTCCCAAAAACTCAAAGCAACAATAAGTTTCTGCTCTATTTTCCACCAAAACCCGAAAAATTCGCCCAAAATTCTTTATTATTTCCTTCGGATAACCAAAGAAAAGCCGCCAAAATGCCGCCAAAGCCAAAAAAGGAGAAGAAGGATCCTAACAAGATCACCCAGGTGGACAGAACGTTCTACGAGCTGACCATCACGGATCTCAACCAGAAACTGGCCCGCCTGCGCTCCCACATGACCACCGTGGATGAGTCCAACATTGCCATAAATGAGAAGCTGAAAGAAATGGAGGCCGATGGCGTGGACGTGGCCGCCCACTTAGAGCGCACCTTGGCGGAGCGGAACAACACGATAACCGAACTGGAGGAGCGCTTGGTGGAGATCACCAAGGTGCGGGACGAGGAGAACAAGATGGCCCAGGATAAGATCGGAGATCTGGAGGCCAAGTACAAGGCCATGCACGACCAGCTGACTTCCGAGATCAAGCTGCTCAACGGCAAGCTAAACTCCCTGGACGAGTTCCGCATCCAGCGGGACGTCCTGCTGGCTAAGTTCGACGACCAAGAGGCGGATCTCAAGGAGCGAGAGAAGGACCACAAGGAGGCTCTCTACAACATGGAGCAGCGGGCGGTGGTTGAGAAGGATGCCCTCAAGAAGGAGGTGGAGCAGAAGCTGCTCCAAGTCTCCGAGGACTTCACACGCTCAAGCGAGATCCGGAATGCTGGCTACACGCGTCGCCTGATTCGCGAGAACATCGCACTGCAGAAGGAGATCGATCTGCTGGTGATGTCCCAAATCAAGCTCCAGCAGGCCTACACCAACCAGAAGGCCAAGCACAAGGAGATGGAAGAGCAGTACAGCGCTCTGGACCAGATTAAGAACGAGCTGGTCCGCAACTCGGTCAACAAGATCAAGATCATCGAGGGCCTGACCCACAACTACGAGAAACTCAAGGCCAAGTACGTGGAGGGTCTGCGCTACCGGAAGGCCTACGAGGCGAATATCCAGGCGGAGAAGTGCGAGAATGTGAAGCAGAAGGACGCGTTCGCCAAGCTCCGGACTCTGGCCAAGCGCATGGAAATCTTGGAGCTGGAGAACCATAACCTGGGCGTTGTCCATGCGCAGCACGAGATCGAGATCACGCGGCTGCGTGGGGTCATCCAGGAGATCAAGTGCACGGTGCGCGACGCCATTGTGGCGGAGCAGGCGGCCAAAACCTTCCCCGAGCGTTTGGAGGAGGCCAATGTCGATGAGCGCCAAGTGATTAAAGAGGTCCGCGAGGAGGCCGTAGCCGTCTGCAAGCTGAAGCGCAGCGATCTTCTCTCCCAGCTGATGAACATAGTGAGCTCCCATTCGGAGAAGCTGCCCATGACACCGTCAGTTGCCTCTATTGGCAGTGCTACCTCCTCGTTGTATGCACCCGGCAAGATGGGCTTTATGCCCAAAAAGCAGCGCGAGACACCGTACGCCGCCTTTAAGAGCGAAGTCATTGACCAGGAGCCGGATCGCAGCATTCCCGAGCATCTGCAGAGGCAGCGGGCGCAGGATCGGGACAGCTCGCTGCTACGTGGCGAAGGAAATACCATCATTGACGTGGAGTTCGGTACCACGCTATATGTCTCCTCGTCCCGCGAGGATGATATCATTGAGCAGGAGGAGGAGCCACTCGAGGAGCCGGAGGGCTCAAGCAGCACCGTGTCCGTAAAGAAACCCAGCAGCGAAGCCAGCGCTCCCGCGCCTGCCACTGCTCCTTTGGCCGCCTCTGCCTCTGTCCCTGATGTCGCGACGCCGCCTAGTGGCAGTGGCACCATAGACACCCTAACCAGAACTTCCAAATTGGTGCCCCCGGGAGGCGAGGATGGCGAGGAAGAAGGAGAGGAGGAGGACTTCGACGTCCAGTTCATCTACTAGGACCTCGTTTCCTTAGTTTCCCTTTCGTTATTATGTATTAAATCGTGAAATAAATAAATACAATTGACCATATGTAATAATGTTTTTGACTTAATAACTTTAATTATTTTTTTTTTTAATTCTTAAAAAATATTAAATAATGTTTTTTACTTCCAGGGTCCTTCAGTAGAGACTCAGAAATGTGGCAAGAGCATCGCCGATACCTGGGACTGCATCTACGAGACCTCGGGCACAGCTATCACCAAGGCAAACAGCTCGGAGGTTAGCCAGGAAATCGGACCTGGATGTCGTTGTGGCTGCATCGTCCATCTGGGCTCCTCGAAGCCCAAAAGGATCATTGCGGGAGCCACGCAGAGCTGTCCCGGTCGCTCCTTCTGGCTCGTACAGGTACGTCATCACATTAACTAACCCCTCAGAGAGACACAGAACTCGCACTAGAAAGTAGCGAAAGTCAAGCGAAGTTCTGTCCTTTGGCATTTGGTCAAGTTTCGAGAGCTTCTCAAGTTGTCTGCCGCCATAACTATAAAAACGAACAATGCCAAACACTGCGAAGTCCGAGTCCATGAATAAAATTCCGCAACGCTTCAGAGACCGCTTCTGCTGGGGCTGCTGCCCCCCATGCAAAGGACAAAGGATCTCCTCCACCTAATGTACCATGCCGGGGCGGCAGGGTGAGCTGAAGCAGAGCATTACTGCCGGCCAAAGGGGGTTGAACTCAATTCATGCATAATAAATGCCCCACTTGGTAGGCGTTTTGGCCAGTCCCGAAACTATCAATGCGTAAGGTCTATGGGGGTGACTTGAACTCGCTATACCCTTTATTTATGGGTAAAAGGGTATGCTAAAAATTTGAAATTAGTAACTATACAAAATATAACAGAAGTATATTTTTCAAGGCAGGTCTTTCTTTCTTTTGGACTTTCAAGATTTCCTTCTCTTTTCAACCAGCAACCAAAATCAATAAGTATTCCCTATTCGATACAGTCCACCCTAAGGTTCCGACATATTTTCGGTTCCCCTTTCTCCCGGATACAATTGGAATGATTAGACCTGCCAATTGGCACGTTCGGTAGCGGGAGGGGCTATGTATGTGCTGATTGGAGGAAGGCTGAATGGTGATGAATGCCTGACCCACTTTGGTAGTTTCCTTCGGCTACGGAATGAAGGGGAAACCCAAACATTTACCCGTATGTTCACTAGCAACAAAAAAACTCTCCCTTCCCTGCAGGTGGATGGCGAGGAAAGCATTTCTCTGGCCCTCAGCTTCCTTCGCCTGCCCTGTGCCTCCCAGTACATAAAGGTGCGCGACGGACCATCGCTTTCCTCCACGTTGCTGGTGGAGCTCAATGGCGGCGGGCTGAGTCTCAAGGGAGGCGAAGTTCCGGTGGTCGTCGACTCAAGTGGCGGCCAGCTTCTGGTGGAGTTCTCCGCCGGCGATAGCCCGGCAACGAATACATCCTCTGCGGCCCAGGACGGAAGCGCATCCTGCACCGGCGGCTTCATGGCCACTGTGCAGCAGCAGTTGGGTGAGTGTAGTCCCTCTCCGCAGGAAGTTATCATGTGAATTTGATTTAAACTGAGCTCTTAACTTTGCCACACAGCAACGAGGAACAGCAACGCCAGCACCACACTTGTTGCGGCTACTCGTTTGTCCGGAAAGAGTCGCTCCATGACCCAAAAAACAATGACCCATCTACGCTTCACCCTGGTCCATCTGAGTGCCATGATCTTTGCCAGCATTATCATCATAATCAGCGCCTTGCTAGGTGGGTATTCGCAAGAGTTTGATTTATAATTATAATTAATGATTAATTATCCGTTACCAGGTGCCCAGTATGTGGTGCGCTATCGGAAATATCACCTGGCCGTGGCCCGGCGGCAGGACGAGGGCTCACGCTTGCACACCCCGCGCGCCTCGCTGAGTTCCCTGCAAGGACCCCCTTCGCGAGCCATGTCCACCACTACCCTGCTCTCGGAGGTGATATACTTGGTGAAGATGCGGCCAAAGCACCACCTGAGACACTCCATTCTTCGCGAGAGTGTGGACGCAGAGAATTTGACAAGCGAGACGGAGTTCAAGGAGACGGACTCGCCGGGATTGCTGGCCAAGTGGTGGGTTCCTCAAGGATATATATTAAATATAATATTAAAAACAAAATATTTTCATTTCAGCGATGAACTCAAGGAAATGGGCAGCTCGGCTTCAATGCTTACACTCCGCAACGAGCGATCCTCGCCAGCACGATCCCTGGACACCGGCAGTGTCATTGGCTCTCCCTCCTCCGGGGAAGCCGAACTGGCGGAAGCTAGCAGTCGAGTCGATGACTCCAAGGACTCACCCACGGACGACCCACTGGAGCCGGCCAGCTGCAAGGACAGTGCCCGGGATACGGAGTCCATCATATCCTCCGGCATGAGCTCCTTGTGCAACAGCCCGCCCATGAACAGCAAGCGGCTGAGCAAGTACTCCGATCGCTACGACGCTGTGACCCTGAAGCTGCTCTCCTCCCGACTGGACGAGAGCCTGCAGGATGCCAGCTCCCTGCACTCTGTGACCGAGTCCCTCAGGCTAGGCCGCCTAGGATCGCGCAGTGTCAGCTCTTCCCTGACGAATGTGAGTTAAGAGGTTGCCCTGCCAAGCTTTAAATATTTTCTGTTTCTTAAAATATATATTTTTTTTATGAAGTACCGCCAACTATTAATATCCATAAGTATTTGCAGGGCTGCTACTCACCGGCCGCCAGTGTGGTCAGCACGGCAACGATCCGAACAACCAGTAATCCCAAGGAGTCCAAGGAGAAGCAGAATCGCAGGAGGCTGTTGGCACGACCTGGATCAGAGTTTTCGCTGGGCAATCAGGAGGAACTCGAGCTGGACTACTACGATTACAATGTGATCAATGCAGGATCGGCGCCGGGCTCATATCTGGGCATGGATCCGGCATATCTGGTATGGATTCCGCCCTTTGAAGAGGTCGCTGAAAGGGAGGAAGATGACAAGACGCCGGAACCGGAGCGGGAGCCTGACCCGGAGCGAGACGAGCGAGAGCCGCTGTACGAGGAGATTCGGATGCCCAAGTATGGACACTATCTAAGTCCCGCCAGCAACACGGAGTCCAGCAAGTCCAACACGGCGGACAATACGCCCAGTTCAGAGGAGCTATCGCCCCCGAACAGTGGACGTCCCTCCAAGGCCACCTCACCCTGTGACGGAGGCAAAACCCTGCCCAAGCAGCCCACTCCGTTCATGTCCAGGAAGCAGCGGCGCCAGTCCAAGCAGCAGATTCAGGCCAGTCTATCCCTTAGCGCCGGATCCCTGGACAACGAACAGCGAGCTGGAAGAAGCTCAAGGACCATTGAGATCGCTGCTGTGCACCAGAAACTGGAGGCTGATTTCGAGCCCAATGAGTCCATGACGGGCTCGTATGTGGAAAAGGAGACGGCCGTGGAAAAGGAGACGGCCGTGGAAAAGTCCTCGGGAGATCTGCAGGAGTTTCTGGCCCTGGACGACATACAGTTCGCCGACGAGAGTGGCAGCGACTACGAGGCTGTGAACCTCAAGCAGGTGTCCCAATTGGAGTCCAAGCTAAACCAAGACGATGTCCGAACGAAGCTGCTGAGAAGGAAGGAGCCAAAGTCGAAGGAGGTGTCCGTGTAACGAGGAAACTTGCTTGTATATACTAATTATAAAAAGTGCACAAAGGAGGCAGCATATGTTTAGCTATAGTCTTACGATCTTGTAAAATACGGGTTAAAATTACATATAAAAGAGAAACGTAGACCACCTTGGAGTAACTGTGTTTCAAAGCTCATCTCTCTAAAACTGTATACTTGTAGAAGTAAAAACGCATCTAGTCACAGAGCTCGTATAAGGCTAATCTGTTTAATCTGTATATACCGTAGCCAAGGCTCACTGTACTTTAAATATTTATTCGCACCAAATTATAGAAATCTCTATTCGATTTACTTAAGGCATTTTAATTGGCACTAAAATTGGATTAGGAAATTGGAATTAAACAAACTTTTGTGATCTTTATTTGTTGCTTGCAAGCATTGGAAATTCTAGTCAATACGAATAGTCGAAATTAGCGTTTGAGATCAAAAAATATGTTTTTGTTTTGCCAGATATTAAGCCTTTTTAACACGTAGTTTTTTAGGTATATAAAACAAATAAAATACTTGTACAGAAAACAAAATAATAAAAACACTTTAATTCTTCTTTGGGATAGAAATGAATACGAAAATTAAATCTTATTCCAATCCAAGCTTGGTTTATTGGTCTTGAGTTAAGAAACTTAGGGACTTGACAAGGAAATATTTATTTTCATATAATTTCCTTGTCAACTCCATACGCATATAATCATAATTCGTTTACACCCGCCTTCAGGAACAAATAATTTGTCTACTTTCCTTGGGAAAAGTAAAAGAACTACATCTCTTGAGAAATGTTGTGGTTTTACTTGACGAAGGGAAAATAGAGGAATTACTCCTCTTGGGGCGGCTAAAAACAATGTCTTTATCTTCCAGAAAATATAGTTTCTTGTCCAAATTGGATATTGCAAGTTTCCGAGTTTGATTCGACATCTGACTGGGCTCATGGCACATTGCCATTTGGGCACGATAGGCCATCAATTCCTGCCGTTTTTGCTTTCTCCTCATTTCCACCAAGAACGGTGCCTCCTTCTGTGGACGCCGCATCGCCTTGCACATGCAACAAGCCGACTTCTTCTTTACAGACTTTAAGCTTTTCTTCTCCATTTTCAATGGCTTTGGCTTTGTCTTGTTCTTTTGCTTAACGACATTATTATCTTTACCCTCAATGACTTTGTACTTGTTGTATATTTCATTATACGGATAGAAAAGTAAGTCGCTCTGTAGTATACCCTCAAGGTCCAGGAAGTCTATTTCTGCATCGTCGTCCATGTAATGCTTATTCAAAAACTCTTTCAACTTCTTCAGCTTCTCCTGGTAACTGGAAAAAACGCTATTCCTGCTGGCCCGCATTTCCAAAAAGCGTTTCCTGTCTACGGAAGGTCTGGATGTCATGACTGGCTCGGGTGCAATACTGGAAGTATTGGATGGAATATAGGGGGACGCGGGTGCCGATGTGTGCGATGATCCACTCTTAATGCTGAGCGGTTGAATATAGCTTCTTCGACTTGCTTTATTATTGGTAAATATTGGTCTCAAACTTCGTCGTGTATTAAAAAACGTCTTACTGTCTTTTCGAATAGTGCTTTTTCTTGGTTTAGAAAATATTTGACTCATTGCCGAAGATAAATCGGAAACATAAGAAGAACCCGATTCACTGTTTCTATTCGCAAGGACCCTTTTCGATTTTGTTCCGATTCTATTCATTTCTTTCAAAAGCTTAGAGACAAATTTATCACTAAAAGTATCCATCGATTCTCTTTCAAATTTGTTGGGTAAGTAGACTGCCATTCGACGGCTTCTTCTGGTCTCATTATTGCTTTGATTTGCAATTATGTGACCCACAGGGGTTTTAGAGGTTTTGGTTTCAGGTTTAGGAACAATTCTTTCGTGATGCTGGTCTGCAGAAGATTTTTTAAATTTTAAACCTTCCGGTTTGATTGTATGAGGTTTATCTTGAAACTTGACTCTTCCTGTGGGATCATCCTGGCTATTTTCAGCCTTGGAAGATTCATATTGAAATTTAGAAAGTGATTTATTTTGAAGCTTGGAACTGTCCTGGGAATATGGGACTTTGGGAGTTTTATGTTGAAGTTTTAATATTCCTTTTGACGTCTCTTTGTTAGCGGTATATTTATTGTCAAGCCTGATACTTCTCCTGTGATTTTCCGGCGAGTGTGCACCTTTGGGAGTTTCATAATGAAATTTTGAATTTTCCTTTGATTTATTTTGAAGCTTGGCACTTCCCCTAATATTATCCTCGTGATTTTCATCTATGGGATTTTCATTTTGAGATTTCAATATTTCCTTTGATTCCTCTTTGTTAGCAGAAGATTGATCTTGGAGCGGAAGGCTTTCTCTTTGATTATCCTGGGCATTTTCGACATTGGGAGATATATGTGTAAGTATTAGTCTTTCCTTTGATTCGTTTTTCCTAGCAGGGGTTTTATTCTGAAGCTTGTCCTGGTGATGTGGGTCTTTAGTTTTTTTTGGGTTGGCAAGGATTACTTCTTGAACTGCCCTTGCATCTTTTTTAAGACGAGGACCTGTTTTAGCAGACCTCAGTTGAAGCTTGGAACTTTCCTTGGCATTACCTTTTTTCGACTGGATCTCTGTATTACGTTTCTGAGCTTTTTTTACTTGTTTTCTGTGACTTTGAGCTGTCGAAGAGTCGTGATGAACCTTGCCACTCTCCTTCGAGAACTCTTGGGTTATATTTTGGTCCTGGCCTGACTTTTGACGTTTTGACTTGGAAACTGTTTTGTGAAACGAACTTAGGGAAATAGTTTTGGGCTCATAGCGCTTCCCTCGAGGTCTATAGGCCTCTACTATGGGTTTGTTTGCTTCAGAAGACTTTGATTTCCATTTTTCACCATTGGAATACTTCTGCAGAGTTGGGGTCTCCGCAACCCTAGGTCGCACCCTATAAATTTCCTTCACCGGAGGAGGCACTTTCGGGGGAGGTACTTTCGGAGAGTCGGCTCTTGGGCATGGGTCAGCTTTCGGTTGAGCATGCGTTTTGAATTCAAGATACGTTCTTACGATATCATATATGTCATTGTAGATACTGTCACCATGAGGATTGCTTTCACAGTTGCAGGCGATTCTCTTGCGTCTGAGGGACTTTTCCAAGCCGGCTTGATCCTGACTGGCCTTCAGAATCTGATAGAAGGTATTTTTCTTGGCAATCCTTTCACAATACTTTGACCAAGGCGTAGAATTTGAAATCAGACTAGATGCGGTGCCGGTTAGAGGAACTCGGGAAATTGCCTTGGTCCACGAAGTCCTCTTCCTTGGGCCCGTGGGCCAGGCAAGTGTGCCTTGATCCAATTTATGAATGCTGTTCAAAACATTCGAGATCGAGTCAGGCAGATATTTGGCATTTTGATTGATGGGAGTGGGATTGGTTGACCTATCCATAGGGTTGCCACGCGTAATTTCGATTTTAAAATATTCTGGAATATACAAAATATTACGCTTTTTTTTCAATCTTACGATAAATTTGTAGAGTGAAGTAAAGGAAAGTGAAATAAACACCATAGGCTTACTAGGTGTCTTTGATTTGGGTTTATAATTTAGTGGACTTCAAATTAAGAATTAAACATTATAATCCCTTAACTTTTTCCCTCCAGAAACCATCTAAAAGTCGCCTGTTTAATTTCAACATATTTTATTAATAAAGTTTCAGGAAAATATTTTGTCTATCGATGAAATGTGGCTCAAAATACAAATAGGAGAGACAGGTGCCTTTGCTTACACGTTAGATTTACACTGGTAAATTGTTAATTGATGACTAGAGCATAGCGTATCGTTATTTAGATGCCAACAATGGGCGACATTAATTGGTCCTATAGTGCCTGTCGAGAAGCGTTTTGGTATTAGATTTTAATAGGTACTCGATTACGATCGTGTGGATATATGTATATACTGTTACTCTCTATTAACGAACGCCTTAATCTAGGATTATTTAATTAACAGAATTTAAGGGAAAGACTTATATCAAAAGATCTTATTGCGTTGCTTTGGTTGAGGTCGGAAAGTTTACTTTTTTCATTGCAGGCGTAATATATTTGAATGCAAGCAATACCTTTGAACTTTATTGGAGTTATGGTGTGGATATATGTATGTATTATCCAACGGATATAGCAAGTCAAAACTTGTGCCAAAGCATGGTCCATGTGAGGTATGATTTTCTATATATTTTTAACACCAATATTAACATGGCTATTAACTGCTTACTCACTAGATTAATATTCGATTATGCAAGATGGTTTTAGTTTGTGAATTTTTTGTTTTATGCTTTAAATAACAATAATTTTAAAAGATATAATTTAATAATTTAAAAGAATTAGCGGATTGATAGGGAAATGTCTTTCAGTTTAACGTATTTTTTACAGTTTAATTGTCACCTTTATAAAATTTAGTTGAACTAGCCATAGTGAAATATAAAAATTGATTTTGATCCCTTGGGCCTTTTAAATTGTTAGTTGGTTAAACAATTAATATGTATATATTCATATGCTTAACTGTAAGTATAAAGCGTTCTCTAATATCAACAATATTTATAACATTTTTAATTATACACACACTTTTGTTAGACGTGAATAAAGCTAGTGAGAGGAGTGCATAAATGGTTATTCTTATTAATATTATTATTATTAAATAATTTAAATCAAAAGCTTAAGGGAATGACCAGTAGACTTGCTAGGAAGTCTATACTTTTGCTTTCGCGGAGATCTTGATATAATTTCTTGTTCTTTAATAATGTCTAAATCTTTGGTAAGTTGTAACTGATCTTGATCTTGACTGGGAAGAATTAATGTTAATTAATGTTAACATTCGTTTTAAGAGACATGAAGAATGTGCTATAAATGCGCCATGTGAACCAATTGAAAAGCCTTGAATACATTCTCCAAAAAAGAAATTTCATTTTAAGTTCCTTGTAAACTTTCCAGCTTAAGTCGACTTTTTGGGATCTATTACTTTTGCCTCACAGTCCGTGGGATCGATGTCGTGCTCCACAACTAAAGTGTTCTTTGAGATTTTGTCCGCCAGCAGAGTCACAGGATCCGATGCCGTCTTGGCCGCAACGGGTCTGCCTGTTGATCGGCGCCTTATGTTCTCGTCCTGCTGCTGCTTTCGGTGCAGATCGCTCAGCCTGAAAGCCTCCAGGAACTCGTTTAGATCCACCTTGCCATCACCGTTCAGATCCATCATTCGGCACTTTTCCAGCATTTCCGCCTTGGAATAGGCACCCGGCATGTGGGCCACCAGCAAATCAATTGCAGTTTCAAACTCATCGAGGGTTATCTCCCCTAGAAGTATATACAATCATGAAAATCCTAATTTTAGTGGGTGCTTCATAGACTTACCTGAATTATCCGCATCAATAATGTTGAAAATGGCCACTAAACTGGCCTTGTTGGCATACAAAGCATCCATTACCGAAGTGCCATCAGCCTCGGCTTCCAACTGAGGAAATAGTTTGGTTATTTATTTGTTTATCAATTATTTATTCATGTTAAGTACTTACAATCACATCCGTGTCTAGCAGATCCAGTGTCCGGTAATAGTTCACCTTCTGGCTGTCCGTGCCTGGGGCCAGCTTATCGCGCAAGAGTCGCCAGGGCAGCCCCAGCTTGGTGACCTTCTCCATCACCAGACACCAGTTCGAGATGGATATGTAGCCGCTATCCTTGGTGTCGCACTTCCTGAACTCATCCTCTAGCTCATCCCGGTGATCGCGCATCCGCACCGCCAGCTCCTTGAGCGCAGAGCTTTCCACGATGCCCATGCGCTGCTTAAAGGAGAGCCTCTTCGTCTGCGAGGCCGCTGATATATACTGAACGAAATGGGGCATTAGCTGATTGTTCAGCCGGATATAGGCGCCCTTGTTGGATCCAATGGCATAGTAATTGGAGGCCGAGAAAATGGTAATTATCTGAGAAGAGAAAGAGAGGTGGTAAATGGATGGTAAATATGAGATATCTTTAAATTGAAAGATATATAATATTATTTAACTATAATTTACCCAATTTATTTATCTTTCCTACTTCCCCTATATATATTTGTTAACCCTTTAAGCCCCCAATGAATAATGACTTTCCGATTTTAAACAGAAAAAACCTTTAACTGCGTAATAACACGAAATTCTGTCACCTTGCAGGTGTTTTTAAAAATCAATAAAATTCAATTACAATGCAACAGAGCTATTAAGCAAACGTACAATTGCACTTAACCCCTCAATTCACTATGCATGTAAATTGCAACCGCATGACAATCCAAAAATAATGACAGGAGGGTTAATGAGGAGGTAGCTGTCTTCATGTCAAAAATTCATAAATATTAATTATGTATATAGAAATTAATTTTTACTGACAAATTGCAGCTGATTATCTAATGGAAAATTGCCGCAAAAGGACAAAGTTAGTTCCACATGTGTTATATAATAAGGGTCATTATTGTTGACCAACTTTGTGGGAATGTATAATCAGAGATAAACTCAACAAAATGGAGCAGAGGCAAGATAGGTTATCAATATAAAGGGAGTGACAAGTACATGTTTAACTTTAATTATTGATTAATTGGGGGGAATAAATACCCACCTTGTTGTCATGCATGAACTCGTGACCATTGGGTTTGCATTCGTGGGATCGAATCACGTAGCTGAGTCGGTGGCGCTGCAGGAAGTTATCGGTGACATCCGGACCAAACCAGACGCCAGCTCCGCGCAGAGTGTTGGGAACACAGCCCATTGTGGCCTGGGGATCGCTCCACATAATATCAAAGATCTGTTGAATTGGAAAGGATCTTGAATACTTTTCTCATAAAAAAAATATATCCAAGTATTACCTGCTGCCACTCGGTCTTGTCTAGGGGCTCGCCATCTGTGAGTGGTGGCCGCAAAATAGACACATACTGCAAGGAAAATCTTATATATTATTTTCCAATTCATTAGGATTAATAACCATTACCTTGCCCCTATCAATGCTCTTGATAAGATCCAGGCTGGTGCTATCCGAGAAGCCTCCGTGAACGATGAGCACTCGACTATTGAGAACAGAGCCCAGGGGAAGCCATCGATAGACTTCATCGATGAAGGCCAGAATGCGTTTGTGATTTCGCTTTAGAAAAGGGTATTTATATTGTAAATTAATTATTAATAAATAGATTTTAAACCACTTACAGGATACTTGCTCTCCACCTCGCGTATAAAACCATAGCGGGCATTCATGACACTGTCCTCGTGGTTGCCCCGATTAAGAAATACGGCCTGGGGAAAGGCCAAATAGAGTGAGAGCAGGAGAAGCAGCACCTCCAGGCCACGCTTGCCCCTGTCCACGAAGTCGCCATTGAACACGTAGGGATTGGAAGAAGAGGGAAGACCGTTCTGCGGAATAAAAACAAATAATAAAGCAAAGATTATATATAAAACCAGAAGGTACACCCACCTTATGTAGCACCACAAGAAGGTCGTCCAACTTGCCGTGAAGATCGCCACACACTGTAACCTGTTGGGATACAGCCGTGGATACGGGTGAAATATTGGGCAGCTGCTTTAAAGATTTGGCAGCTTCGCGTAGGATAAGTGCCACATATTTGGGATGCAAACGGTTTCCCTGAAAGTTAAAGAATTTAGTGTCGTGTATATATCTAAATTGAATAGTTGTGTTACCCTTTTCTTGCGGAAGACATCAATCAAGAGATCAATATGGTTCTTTCGTATTGGCAACTCAATTTTGGCATTCACAATGTCCCCAAACTCCTCCACGAGGTCATCCTTTTCCTCCAATACGGAAACTGGAAAAAAATATGAATTTAAATTGAATTTAAAAACAGAAAAGTAGAATTAAGCTCACTCACCATGGGCCGATCCTTGGTACTGATTCTTTCTGCCCGCCGCCTGGGGCATATGCTTAATGAGGTCATTGAAGAATTTATATAGCTGCGGGAAAGCACACAAAAATAAATGGATAATGAAAACAAATTAGCAGAGTGGGTCAACAATGGTTCGACAAGGCTGCACTTGCGACAAAGTTTCACGGCTGAGTTGATTGCTATCGACTTTTGAAACTCTACAAATGCACTCGACTGACGTCGTTCTCTTGAGCTTTTCCGCAGCGCCTTCACCTGTGGTTATAGCCCCGAAACTGACTCACCTCAGCCTGGTCCTGTTCGCTGGCATACTCCAGGTTCTGGAAGATCTGCCAGTTGCAACGCCTCTGCATTTCGCGACGGGCCTGATGCCTGCGATACCATTTCTGGATGAATATAGCCGCTCGGATGGCTGAAAGAGTCGAAAGTGTGTGTGTGAAAATATTTGGTAAAATTCTTTTGGACTTTGCTTTGGGACTATTAAACTATTTTATGGTGTAGGGGGGCCAGAGGGTTGTGTCTACTAAAACCTCGAGGGCAGAGCATGTGGCAA